TGGGGAAGAGGGAGCATCTCCCCCTTTCCCTTTGGAAAGCTGGCTTGGGGAAGCTCCCCGCTCCTGCACCCTAAGGGAGGGGAGAGCCAGGAGCACCCAGTTAAGTCCTATGATGCCTGGAGGAGAAAAGGAAGGAGCACAGCTGGTTATTGACACCTCTGAGGGCTTCTGCTGTCCTGGGTCTGTCCCTGTCTCGGGAGGGAAGGGAGCTTGGTTTTCCTGCCACCGAACGAAGCGGGGGGGTCATCCCTGCCTTCAGATCCCAGCGTTATCCCTGTGAGTCGCAGAGCAAAGCTGCCCAAGCCTGCTGGTGGGGAGATGAAGGTATTTGGTCAGATTAGAGGTTCTGAGAAGTCGGATGAGCTGAGAGGGGCAGGCAGCTGTGGGAGGCAGTAATGGCATCCCAACGCGACAACTCCTTTCTCAGTGTCGTCTGTGCCCCTTTGACAGGTCTCTCTGCTGCATCTGAAACTAATGGGCAGCACTAGCACAGTAACTGCTTTGTATGGGGCCAAGCAGAGGACATCTGCTCTCCTCTCCCTTCGTGCCTAGTCACTCTTTCTTGGTTGAAGATGACCTGGGGCTTTCCAAGTTGTTATTTTAGCAGTTTGCTTCTGTTGCATGGCTCACAGTTTGCTGGATGTATAGAGCAAATACATCTTGCCTGCATCTAGAGTTCATGAGTTTTATGTGAAGTCTTGTTGCCTGACAGGGGAAAATGGGCTCTAGAGATTCTCCCACGAAAGGGGGGGCAGCGAGCTCACATCCCTCATTCCAGAGACCTTTCTGTTCTTCCATCAAGGAGACGACCAAGGGGCTCGGCAGCAGCGTTGGTCTCAGGCCGAAGGGGTTTTGTTGCTTGGTAGCTGCTTTGTTCTGGACAGCTGAGCCTGGGAGTTGCAATAAAAGTTGCTTAATCCTCTCAAACTGCCTCGCAGCATTACTGAGCCTTAGCACTGCCCGCAGGCACCAGGGCTCAAGCAGCTTGCCTGTCAGTGCTCCACTGCCTACTTAGCAGTGCTTATAATAGCAAATCCCTCTGCAGAGCAGGGGACAGGCCGGGTCTCCAGCACTTGCCCTGTGAAGAATCGTGTTCCTCTGCTGCCTTCCCCTGTCGTGCTGTGAGTAATGGAGCTGCCCTGATGCAGAGTGTGATCCTGCCGGGCCCCATCTGCGGGAAACCAGCCCCAGCTCCTGGTGAAGCAAGCCCAGGAGCAGGCATTGTCTGCTTAGATGCCTGGTGGCTTGTCACAGCAGCGTCACTGCTGGAAGGTGTCCTCGTCCAACATCTGGCGCAGCACGAAGGGCACGCGAGTCATCCAGAGACAGCAGAGCTGTGCTGAATCGAAGCCAAGTTCCCTCTCAGCTTCACGTGTTGGACCAGATGGGGTCGTGTTCGTGCTGATTTCAATCCCTGTTTAGCGTGGGGTGTTTCTCTGTGTGTTCTTGATGCTGCTGGTGTAGAAGGTGACCAGGCTTTGGGCCAGGTTTTTGGTCCTAGGACTCGTGAAGGGCAAAGAGGTTGTGTGCAGGGGCTTGTACTGTGGAGACACTGTCTTCCCAGTGCCACTTGTGCTTTCTGGGCTGGCTTTTGCTGTTCCAGAGGTCTCCCCAAAGCAGCACTGCTTCAGCCCACTTCCCGTGATAGCTTATGGTGTGCAGTGTTCCAGCTGACTTCTTTGTTTTCTGTTTTTCCAACAGCTGCCCCTTCCTTGCCACTCACCTCACCTTGGCCATCCCCATCATTGCAGCCGTCCTCTTCTTCTTTGTCATCAGCTGCCTGCTGCAGACCAGCTTCAGAGACCCAGGTATCCTGCCCAGAGCCACCCCCAGTGAGGCTGCAGACCTGGAAAAGCGGATTGGTGAGACTCCTGTTCCCTCTCTTCTGTCTGCTCGGTGCATGCCCATGTGTGCACGTGTGTTTTGGGCTCGGTGAGTCTCCTTTCTTGGGCCCTGGCTCCTGACCAGTTGTCCAGGGGGAGAAGAGGCCAGAGTATCAGACTGTGAGGCTTGACAGTGTCCTAGGAGTCCTGGTGAGAGAGGTGCACCAAGCTCTTGTAGCACAGCAGGCAGGTGCTTCAGAGAGAGCAGCTCAGAGAAGCAGAAGTGAGGGTTGTTTCTGTTCAGCCCCATCGCTTTCCCAGGCAAATCCCTGGACAGCAGCTCAAGGCTGTGCCTGTTCCTGCCCCCAGGACACCACCTGAGTGGGCAGCAGTTCCTCTGAACATTGTCCACCCTGAGAGGAATCTGCCCCTGTACCACCCCCTGCAAAACACCAGTGCTGAGGACGTGGGGTAATTAATTTAAGCATGAATGCTTCTTCAGATTACGATTTGCCATTGAACCTGCTGTGCTGCAAGGTCGTCTTCATTGTGGTGCTTTCTAACAGTATGCTAATGTTTGTCCCCATCTGCAAACCGCAGTGTCACGCTGCTTTGGTGGTGGCCAGGAAGGTGTTTGCATCCAGCAGCTGTGGACCTTGTTGGTGTGACCTGTAGTATCAAATGCTTTAGCAAAGCTAATGTGAGACAGCTTGAATGTGCCCCGCTGCAGACAGTTGCAAGGCAGTAATTCTACAGCTGACTAAAAGAATGGGTTTAAAATCTCCTCAGAGTGGTGATCCATGTTTCTATTTATAAGTGCCTGAAGCAGTAATCTGGCTGCAGATGCTGCCTGATGTGCCAGCTGTTACTGCTCATATAATCAGCTTCTTATCCTTTTAGTGCTCACTGTTACATCTCTATTTGCAAAGACTTCCTCTTTGGAGTTGGAAAAGGGCTCTTCTAAGAGTGACTAAAATAAAGGAATAACCTCCAGCATTGCAAGTGTGATACAGAGGTTTTCCACATCACACTTCAGCTCGGCAGAGAAAGCGTCTCCAGCTGCCAGTCCCCAGTGAATAATGAAGTGCCAGCACACACACGTGCTGTGTCCCTAAGAATCCTCAAGTTGGAACTTCAGAGGAGGAATCCTCTTGTGCTCCTAACACACTCATGTCAAATTTCAGTGCAGTCTGCCTGGAGCATTCGAGACCTGCTCACTCTCCTCCCCCGTGGTGATGGAAATGAGTCTCTTGAGCTGCTGGCTCCAACTGTGGGTTGGCAAGTGGTGTGTGGTGGTGGCAGGGAGGCTTCTGCTGAGGTTACCCTGATTGCTGTAACCTGGGTGCTTGCAGCAGAGGAGGAACCACGCGTGTGTGTTAACAGATTATGTTGCTTCCTTGGGATCTGTTAGACACGCAGAGATGAGTTGGTGTAACTGGGCACTGCTGCTTTGATGCTCACTATTTATTATGTTCTCAAAGCACTGGGCAAATATTAGTTCCCCTCAGCACCCCTGCTATTGAACAGACAAGGAAAGGACATAAATAATGCTGCGAGGAGCTGAGTGGAGTTTCTGGCTGCCTACCCTGCAACAGCCCCTCTAGGCTGAGCTGCCTCTTAGCTTCTGCTTAAAATCAAGAGATGCCAGTCCCTTACCCTGCCTGGTGGGTGGTGTGTGGGGGCTTGGGTTTCACCTGCCCTGCTTTGACGGTCCCTCCCTGCCCCTGCAGACAGCATGGGCACCTCCACGTACCGCCCGCCCGCCCGCACGATGGAAGTGGTCATAAACAAGTACGTGGTGAAGCTCAAGTACTGCTACACCTGCAAGATGTTCCGCCCTCCGCGTACCTCTCACTGCAGCGTCTGTGACAACTGTGTGGGTAAGCCCAGAAAGGTGCTGATACCTCGTAGGGGAGCATGTTTTATGTTCCTGGACTGCTTGCCTTTGCTTCTTATAAAGGATTAGATACCCAGTAGTCTTTCTTCTTCCTGTTTAAGATGAAAGCAACGCCAGTGCAGTGGCTCAGGGCAAGGGGGCAGCATGTCTGAGAATCTGTGCCTCTGTTTTCCCGCTATCCAGGAGGATGCACTGTGAAATGCAGCTAAGGCCTCCACCCAACACGAGGTTTGCTGCTGGCTTCTTGTTGTCTGTGGCCTTGCTGTCACCAGGCTGGTAGAGGCACCACCAGAGATGCTGGTTGAGCTCTTCTGGATCCTCTCTGAATGTGGTGGCGCAGGAGAGAATGAACAAAGACCTGAAGAAAAGCCTCTGATGGCTCCGTGCAGGCGTGGGGCAGCTGCAGGGGGGCTCCCACCACAGTCTCAGTGCACCAGAGCAACTTGAACTGGCAGCAGGGTGCCGTGTGATTTAGGGGCATGCCCAGAGAGTTTACCCCTTGTGCAGTTGCTCCTGGTTGTGTGTCATAGGGATGTTTTATGCTGTCTTCCAGGGCAGCCTGAGGCGCAGTTGCGGGACCCCAAGGTTCTGGTTTGGGAGTAGTTTGGGAGTTTCCAAGTGTCCTGTGTTTGAGCATAGCCACGAGTGGCTCTGACCCCTCCTTGCTCTGGAGAGCAGCCGTGGCTGAGGCGCTGTTTGAAGAGGAGGGGAGCAGGCATGTGCCTGCTTTATGTGCCACGGGCTTTGTTTGCGTTGGTGGCCCATGCAGAACAGTTAGTCTGAAATGCAGCCCTTTCATTGGAAGGCAGCCTCGTGGGGAGTGTTTCCAGCTACGCTGCACCTGCCCTGGCTTCCCGGGCAGTTTCTGTGGGTTGAGAGGTATGTCTGTATACCTGTGAAAACGGGTTTGTGCCCTGCAGAAGGCGGGGGAAGCTGATGGGCAGAGGGGGAGCAGCACCCCGTGCTGTAGGTACTGGAAAAACTGCTGCACTTTCCCTGTTCCCTTTCAGTTTTAGTAATGGTGGATGTTACCAGTCACGAGGCTTGTATTTACGTAGCGTTTGGTGACAGGAAAGGTTTGGCCTTTGATGATTGAAAGGGCATGTGAGGAGGCAGCAGTGTTCTTTGAAACTTCCTGCTAACCAGGGAGGTTCTGGTCTCAGGGTGGTGGATGGAAGTTCAATTTGTAGCCTCTGGTTTTCATGGTATCACAGAGTGTTTGGGTTGGAAAGGACCTTAAGATCATCCAGTTCCAACCCCTGCCATGGGGAGGGACACCTCACACTAGACCATGTCACCCAAGGCCTTGAACACTGCCAGGGATGGGGCATTTCAGAGGCTCAGCAGAGTTTGCTGTGTTCCTGCAAGGTGACAGGAGTTTCTCACCGTGTCCCTTTGTTTCAGAGAGGTTTGATCACCACTGCCCCTGGGTGGGCAACTGCGTGGGGAAGCGCAACTATCGCTACTTCTATGCCTTCATCCTCTCCCTCTCCTTCCTGACAGCCTTCATCTTCGCTTGTGTCGTCACCCACCTCACCCTGCGTAAGTACCTGCAGCGCCGTGTGCCGTGCTCCCGGCCGCGAGTGACTCGGGGGAGCACTGGCTCCCTGTTCCTCTTGGACAGAGTGTAGGAGGGGTCCAGATAGTTTAGATGAGGCTTTTTGGCTCAGGTGGCCTTAATAATTGTGGTCTCAGACTGCAGAGAGCCTCAAACCCACCGCGCACTTCACTGCTGGGGGACCTTGAGAGCTTGTGAGTGGGTTATCCCCTCCCAACAAATGAGTTGCTGGGTGCATCTGCTCTTAACCTGGGAAGTTGGGTGAACCAGGAAGGTGACTTCCTGTCAGCCCCAGATCTGGAGCTGTGTCTGTGCATTGCCATTTCTGCAGTTCCAGCCTGCAGAGGTTTCTCAGGCAGATCCATAAGCCCACAGCGGGGTGGCTGCATGCTCAGGAGTGCTGTGTTGGCTGGAGGTGCAAGGCTGCCTGGTGGGATGTTGTTCCTTGTCCCGTTTTGCTTTGCAGGCTCTCAGAGAGATGGATTCCTCACCACTCTGAAGACAACACCTGCAAGATATCCTTCTGATGCCATCAGCTGCTCACACTGTAGAGCACTGGTGCAGCAGCACTGATGCTGTAACAGGGGATGCAATGAGCTCTTTGTGGGGTCACCCTGGTGTACTTCCTACAACTTAATTTAGTCCCCTCACTACCTGTTTGGGGCAGGCAGACACCTCTTCATCTGTATGCTGATAGCACTGCCAAATGGGCAAGACCTTTAGTTCACCATCAGGGCCTTGGGGTGGGTGGCAAAGTTGTTTCCCAGTTTGCAGTTCTACATGGAAAGGGAAGCAGTTGGAGCAGGCTGTGCCTTGGTGGGTGCCTGCAGAATGGAACAGGGAATGGGAACCTTGCTGGGATATTCTCTTGGCCTGGTGTGTGTGTGATCGCAGCGCACACCTCCCAGAACAGTCCTCTCTCTCCTCGCAGGATGGTTTTGTTCCCTGAGACTTCCTTGACTCTTGTTTCACTGTGCTGGAGCTGGTGATTTGCTTTTTCTCAGTCTGGTCTATTTTGGGCCTCTCAGGTTTTCACACTTATTTAGTTGCCTCCAACCTGACGACAAACGAAGATGTAAGTATCTGGATGCTTGTCCTTCTGCAGGGCCAGCCCTGGTCCTTCCTAAAGCAGAGGTGAGGTTTCCAGGGGATCCTTGGCTGCCTGCCTCAGTGCAGTATCTCGATAGGGCATGCTGCCTGTGCTGCCTGTGCTAATCCACTGCAAAGCAAACAGCCGGCACCCAAAGCGCTAAGGGCAAAGCAGCACCCAGCAGCGGGGGACCGTGCCACACGTGGTGCTTGGCAGTGTCAGGCTGTGGTGGTCAGTGTCTGAAAGGTCACACGTGTGGTTTTTTTCCAGTCTGTTTGTGGCCTGACTTAAAATGAGGAGTTCTGAGATGATAAAAGGTAGGCTGGCCCAGAGATTCATTTGGGTGTTGTCTCGGAACATGGGTGAGCTTAATTCAGCATCCTGTGTAACCACAGGTTTCCTCTGAGAGCCTGGGCAAGTCCCTTTGTCTCTATCAGTTCCTCATGTCTAGTAGGCAAATAATGTGCAGGCATCTCCAGACATGAGATTTACCTTAAAGTCTGGGGTGACTCCAAGGGCCAAATGAGCACCCTGAGCAGGGCAGATTGTACGGAAAAGCAGGATCTGTCTAGTCCGTGAATCAAAATTCACCCAGAAGTACCTGTACCAGCAGTACCAGCTGGAAGCTCCCAGCACTGCAGAAGGCATCTTTGCATCCCTTGTTTCACTTTTCCCCCTTTCCTCTCCACCCTTCTGCCACATTCAGAGGTGTTGGCAGGGCTGCACGAGCCCGGGAGGGTGAAGCTGATGGAGGCTGCACCCCCGTGCTGAGAGCACCGGGTCTGAAGCACGTGGCCCGTTGCCTCTCTGGCTGCATTGCCCACGTTGCCAGCCTGATGCTGCAACTGGTGAGAGGAAGTAGAAACAAAAGGAGGAAATGTGGTGGTAAATGGTTCACTGCAGGCGGGGGGACGGGGGCCAGG